TTTCCTTTGTGACACTATTTCAAGATAAAAAAGTCAATTTTCTAACTTTAAACCATGAAAAGTGTCTTTAGGTGATATTCACCAAATCAAAACATGCCTCTTTCTACAGATGGTTAAGAAGGAAACGAATAGAAAAAATTGCCGAGCAACAAGCTGCCGAAGAGAGGGCTAGACAGCTCCGATTAGAAGCAAGACGTTCGAAACACTTACAGAACCACCTGTGGAATATATCAGAAGCCAGATCCTTTCGTTTTACTGATTATTATAACTGAAAGTATCTATTAAACATCTGGCAGCTACTATTACCAAAATCTTGAATATCATTTTTATGGATCCTGTGTCTTGGTAATACTCTAAATTTTGAAAATAGTATTTATCTTTTGGCAACACTTGACTTTTTTTCACACAATAACAAAATAAAATCTTTCAGTTTTGGAATGTGCTATGCCATCTCTTAGTCTGTGCAAAAAACTAAGAATTGAATTTTTATGTTATTCTACTTCTAAAGTATTTTTTATACCTACCTAAGGTAGACACAAGAACGGGATAGAGTCCTAGACATTTTTCTACTATTATTTACAAAAATCGCAATAGAACATTTTATAAAGCACATTAATTCCTTTTTTCCCCCATTCTGGGGACAACTCAGGGCCTTCACATGGAACTGTGTGTCTATACCTTTTATGCTTTTTACTTTGAGATAGGATCTCACTAAATCACTAAATTGCCCAAGTTGGGCCTGAACTTTCCATTCTCCTGCTTCAGCTTCACAGAGTGCTGGGATAACCAGTGTGTGTGTGCCATCGTGCCTGGATAAGGAACGACTTGTTAAGCTTTTTTTCAATGCCTTATACAAAGTCTTACTTAGGTCAACATTGGATTTAAATAATTGTAGTAGACTACATAATAGTTTAAGTGTAATTCCAACTGTTAGTATGTTTTCACAAAAACATATTAACAGTTATGCATAATACAATGTTAGATATGTTGCAAAATTAGCCAGTTTTATTGAGAGCTTGTAATACGCCTAATATTGTATGTTGTTAATGCTTTACATAACTATTGCAATTGTATGAAACTCCGTTACTTTCCAGGTCTGGGAACTAAAATTACATAGATGGGAGCAACTCATTAAATTCATTTCTTTCTAAACTTTATATAGCAGTTTCAGCATATACCATTCATTAAATATTTCATTATAACTGGTCTGATATTATCTACAATTATCTGAAAGACCCAAATGACATTAAAAACACACTCCACAATGCTCAGTATAGAAACAAGCATTCTCTTTCTTAATATGTTTCCAGAAAGCTTATAGGCAGCCAAACTTATCATCAGTACAATACTTGACTGATGAGTAAGGATATAAATGAAACAATTTGAAGTCCTCACCTATCTGCATCTGTAGTAAATGTTTCACTTAATTTTCTAAGGAAGTAAAATACTGTGTCTTACACAGAGAAGAATCCAGCCTTAGTACTGAGAGCTGGGTGAGACAGGATGTTAGAATGCACAATGAAGTAATATTTCTAAATGATATAAATATTAGTATATGTTTGAAAGGCTATAAATACAGTATAGAAAGAGAACTCTAAAAATAGGTGACTGACAGAAATTTTGTGTCAGTAGATCAAACTTTTTTTCCTCTCTTTTCTTAATTGAAGTGAAATTTACAGAATGTAAAACCAGTAATTTTCAGGCCATTACCTGATAGCATTTTGTACATTTGTGATGTTTTGAAACTACTACTAATTCCTCAACAAACATGTTGTCACCTCCAAGGACCCTTCCAGAATGGCTAAGCCATCACTCCCTGATCCCTTTTCTCAGTCCCCTGGAAAACACTGTGCTTTCTTTCTGTATGGATTTGCATATTCTAGATACTTCTTGTAAATGAACTTATTCAGTATGTGACTTTTTGTGTCTAGTTTTTTACATGTAGCATATTTTGGAGGTTTATCCACATTGTAACATGTATCTGTACTTAATTCTTTTGTATTGAATAAAGTAATATATGTATAACACATGTATACCATATTTTGTTTATCCATTTGTCAACTGATAGACATCCAGGCTATTTTCATCATTTGGATGAGTTTAATTGTGCTGCCATGAACTTTTCTGTACAAATATTTGTTTCAGTATCTGCTTTAATTCTTTTGGATACACACCTCCTGAGACCAAAAAAAAAAAAAAAAAAAAAAAAAAAAAAAAGGACAGAGGGCAAAAAACTGAGCAAAATTAAATAAGTTAATTAAGAGCAACGTGAGATAGAGCCTCAAAAGATGGTATAGCCACAGAAGATGAAGGACTATTAAATCTGCTCTCAGTGGGAAAGCAGACGCTGCACATACTCTGTCCCTTTGCCCGCCATTGAGCTGTATACAAACTTCTAGATTCTAGTATTTCCTTGGTGTCCTCTTGCCCCCTCATTTAGTAAGGTCTTTTCTGTCCTTTCTGACAAACCATGTGCCCCCAGCTATTCCCCACCACATCCTGTTGCTTCAGTCTTCATCACCTCAGAAGAAGAACCTGGTGGGGGAGGTTGCTCATTACATCTCTGGTGACCAATATGGGGCCCCATCTTCTCTACACAGAGGTACGTGTGGTGGAATGGCTTAACCACATGCTCACTCTCCTTCTCTGTCTCTTTATAGAAGTCTAAAAAATGGAGTATGCTGCTGGCCAGTTAATAAAAAAGCTCATATATCAGGCTAGCACTCTCGAAGATGAGGACAGTTTCTCCAGCACCTCCTGGTCAATTCCCCACTGAAACAAATGGGAAGATTGGCTGGATAGGGAGCTTATTCCTTTCTGAAAACAGATCTCTGGTTGTGTGGAACTGATGAAAGCTGGGACAGGCTACTGTATTTGGTACTCAAAGGCCCTCAGTGGAAGCTGAGTCCAAACTGTTACTGAGAATCCAGCATAGAAATCTCCACTTACCTATCATCCCCAACTCTGCGAGGTTGGGTTAATTCACTCATTGTTCTTCAGTTATCCCCTTTCCCAAGGTGACCTGAGATTAACTCCATGCAGGTCCTCTTATAAGTCTCCATTAAGTATCATGTTGTAGGTTTGGGCTTTTCTCTGTTGGGGTCCGCGCCCAAGCCATGTTATTAAGATGGCGCCCATTTCCTGCTTCCTGACTGCTATACTTTGTAAACAGCCTTCCTTGTTATCAACCTTGCCCAGCTACTGGTGACACCAACCTATCCCCTGTCTGAATCTGCCTTGCCCTGATTGGTTTACGTGTTACATATATACTCACACCTCCCTGATCCGGAGGAAGCACAAGTAGTGAGCCACGGCTGAGCGGACGTGTAGAGGCTTCGGTTGCTGTGAACGGGAACAATAAAGAGCTTGGATTGCCGTGCCGGTGTTGTGTGCTCTCGTTCAAGGGACAGCGCGTGACATTTCTCCACTAGTATGACAGACCCCTTTCTTCAGATTTGCTTTGATAAATTTACTGGGCCAGAAACGGGGAATGATCCTAGCACATATTTCAGGCTTCCCACCCCACCTCCAGTGTTCCTGGTGTTTGAGCCCCTGCCCTAATTTTCTCAGATGATAGGAAGTTAGCTTTGGTATTTCCATGACCACTACCTTCTGCTCAGGGATAAAGGGAAAGAAAATCTCTGATGCTGCTTTAAACAAGAGCCGTTTGGCACCACCGTACCTCTCTCCAGAAGGGTGGGCTAAAGAATATTTTTATGAGGGCTTCCTGTCACTCCCAAGGGCCCTCAAAATTTATTCAATTCAAATTCACCTATCCCTTAGGCCTTAGCAGACTTCCCAGCAGACACGTGGACACCAACACTAAGGTTAACTTGCCCACATAGCAGGGATCCACTCTTGCTCTTGTGGGCAGAGAGCACGAGATGGAGAAAGAGAGTGACCAGAGATATGAAGTGGTGCCCTCGTCTCAGAACCTCTCAGGAAAAAACAACTAAAACCCAGAAACTCTGGGCTATCTGCTTCTGCTTGAAAAAGTTTACCATAATATTTTTCAAATGGAAATAGCTAGCAAAAGCAGTTTACTGTCATAACTCTAATACAGAAAAATAGCCATCACAGGAGCAATTTACTACACCAGCTCTGGTCCAAAATCAAAAGCCTTCTTTAAACACTTTTTTTTTTTTTTGTGGTACTGGGGATCAAAGTCAGGACCTTGCACTTGCCAGATGAGCACTTATTCTACTGAGCTATCTCCCTAGCCCTAAACACTTTTTTAAAAAAATGTATTTGGTGCAGGGTCTCATTACGCAGCTCTGACTCGTAGTAATCCTGTTTTCAGCCTTCCCAGTGTTGGGATTACAGGTGTGTGCCACCACACCCAGACTTGGTGGCTGGCTCAGCACACCTGGGGGCAGGGCCAGCCCAACATGTGGTGTCAAGGATCTAACCCCGGCCCCTGCATTTGTCTAAACAGGTGCTTAGTCCACTGAGCTATCTCACCGGCCTTTTAAACACTTCTTGTTTTCACAGTACAAGGAAGTTTTTCTCACTCTTTTTCTAACTCTTACTGGTCTTAGCATATTACAGGAGAACTCTGATTAGTTTCCCCTGAAATGTCCTGATGTTGTTTTATAGTTACAACCTATAACTAATACAAATTATTACAGCTCAACTTGGCCAAAGCATCTAAGAGTGTAGTCTGATGTAAAAGTAGTTATGTGTTTTGTGTTTGTTTGTT